ATTAAATTCAATTTATAAATAGATATTTTTAAATATCATACTTACTGATTTAAGAAAAGAATTATAAACTAATAAAATTACAAATTATTAGTGGCATTGGCAATTATAAATAGATATCTTGTGATTATTTCTCTTTCTCTATTTTTCTTAAACCAAACATATATTAAATAAAAATGCTAAAGGTAACTTAATTTAGTTCATCCATATTCTCCACCAATGAGATTATTTTCTTGGTATGCAGAAAAATAAATCCATTTTACATAATGTAATATCAAATATATTAATGAGAATAAATAGTAAATAAACAAGGAAAAAAATAAAATTAAGAAAAAGAAAGACACACCCTCTTTTTAATGAGTGCAATAATAATTTGAGATTTAAAGTTGAATATCTTTGAGATAAGTAAGAGTGATGGAGAGAAAAAAAAAAAATTATCTCTTATTGAAGATAGATTGTATAATTTATTTTTTTATGATGTATCAGGAAAAAATTATTGGCCGTGTAGCTGTTGCTGAAGGCTGATTAACTTGTAATACGCACTCTCTTTGTTTTCTATCAGACTATGATGGGTTCCCTTCTCTATTATCCTTCCATCTTGTATCACCGATATTTGATCGGCATTCTTTATCGTCGACAACCGATGTGCCACCATCACCGTCGTCCGGTTCCTCATCAGTAGGTCCAGGGCTTGCTGCACCACCCGCTCGGACTCTACGTCCAGGGCGCTTGTGGCTTCGTCTAGCAGCAATATTTCTGGGTTCTTCAGAACTGCCCGAGCTATGGCGATTCTTTGCTTCTGGCCGCCAGATAGCTGCACCCCTCGTTCTCCGACTTTGGTCGAGTAGCCCTCCGGCAGGGAACTTATGAAACTGTGTGCATTGGCCAGTTTGGCTGCTTCGATTACTTCCGATTCCGATGCTCCTTCCTTGCCGTAAAGGATGTTGTCGTAGATTGATGTGGCGAACAGAGCCGGTTCTTGCTGGACCAATCCAACGTGTTTCCGGATAGATTTGAGCTTCAGTTTCTTGATATCTATGCCTGAAATGCAGAAACAGAGTAGTTTTCATTATGTCCACCAGACGTTTTTTTAAATTCCTCGTACACATATTGTTAGGGAAAAGAAAGTGGAGCAGAGATTTAGCCGGAAAATGCTAACCGTCGATCATAACTTTTCCGGCTGTTGGGTCATAGAATCGAAGAATCAGAGCAAGAACAGAGCTTTTACCAGACCCACTTTGTCCAACCAATGCTATACTCTTACCGGCCTGGACTCTCAGATCAAAGTCCTTGAAAATCACCACGTCCGGCCTTGACGGATAGCTGAAATGAACACCCTTGAGCTTAATAGCTCCCTCTACATTTTTCAGCTCTTCTCCAGTGTCTCCGACAATCTGTGACTTCCGGTCCATGACTTCAAACACAGATGCCACCATTTGGTTCCCTTTCAAAAGATCTGGCGCCATTGCTAATGTCTCACCCATGGCTAAGGCCGTTACAATCAAAACCATGAAAGATTTCATTATGGATTTGAAGCTGGCGAGCTCTTTCCCCATTAAAACAGAGCCGTACCATAATGCAAGGCCATACGATGAAAAGATGAAGAACTGGGAAACTCCGTAAAACATTCCTGCAATCTGACCCCTATTGAAGGAGCGCTGTGAAGGCTCAACAAGCTCTTTAGCATAAAGGTCGAGGACTTTCTCTTCAGCGCAGAATGCAGCGACAGTTCGAATGTTGCTGACAGCTTCACTAGCAAGCATGTTGGCTTTTAGATAGGCCTTACTTAAGTTTCCTCCATAACCTTGCATGAACAGTTTCTGAATAAACAGGTTGAAGATTACTAGACTTGAAGTTCGAATGATTAATTGTGGAGAGGGAAGTTACAAGTTATGGAGTACTAACCTCACTAATGTGACCACTTATGATCAACGGATAAGTAGCCAAGACGACCAGTGTGATTCTCCAGTTTAAGATGAATGCAATGATAAAAGCAGCAACAACCAAACCAACATTCTGTATGAGAATTGTTGTTCTATCTACCACTATGGTTCGCAACAGAGTTGCATCGCTCTCTAGACTTGATGCAAGCATTGAACTTGTGTTGTTTATGTCATCAAACCAGCCGATCTCATTCCCCAGAATGGCTGCCATAAGCCAGTTGGTGTTAATGAAAGGCTCAATGAACTGGCCTTTAAAGCTGAAGTAATATATAGAGGAAAACTTACTAGAAAACATCATCTGGCGCACACGAAGAGTGAGTCTCTCTCCCATGATGCCGAAACAGAGATGCTCAATGGCATGAACTGTGATAGTAATCGCTGCAGCACAACAAAACAGGATGGATATCTTCTTGACTTCATGGCGAGTTGTGTCCCAGTCCATGTAATAGGCTACTAGAGCTTGAGAAACTCCAAGAGCAAACAGAGGCATCTGAGCTCCAGCAATGAGTGCACAAATTATGCCAACTACCCCATAAATCCAGTCAGGTTTTACCATGGAATACAGTCTTCCGAAGGAAATGTACTTCGAATTTACAGCATCCTTTGCATCACCAGCAGCACGGCTGGCTGAATCCTTATCAGAATGGAAACTTGCACTGAAACTCGTTCTTGTCTGGGATAATTCACTTGAGTACCTTACACTGCAAAGAAAAGAAATTAAAGATGTCAATACTATACTTTTTCTTGATTCTCAACCAGAAATCTCGTCAGGAAATTCTCCAATACCTGAGCGGCCTACTCATGGTAGGACCTTGAGATGGATACCGTTGCAAGGAAGCTGCCTCTTGAAGTTGAACAAGCGAAGAATAGACGCTGTTAGGATGGGAAATAAGCTCTTCATGGCTGCCAGTTTCCACTATCTTCCCACCCTGCGCAACTACTATCACGTCTGCATTCCTGATAGTGGAAAGCCGATGAGCAACCATGATGGTGGTTCGTCCCACCATGACACGATCAAGTGCCTCCTGTACGCTTTTCTCTGATTCAGCATCCAGTGCACTCGTTGCTTCATCAAGTAAAAGAATTGAAGGATTCTTCACTATTGCACGAGATATCGCAATTCTCTGTTTCTGTCCACCTGATAGCTGTATTCCTCTTTCACCAACCTGAAATCCATATCACAAATTCATCCTCAGATTTCTTTACTAATTTCTTTAATAAATTGTTACATTTGTACAAATCATGCCTGTACACAATATTGTGTTTAGCGAGCAGGTGTTCTTCTGGGTTAGTTTATGCACATAGCCTGCGTAAAAAGTCCATAACAGGAATTTCCGCTGTGGAAATATGTTTTACTTTGTTGTTAATGGAAATACCTGAGTTTCAAATCTGTCAGGAAGATTGCTAATGAAGGAGAGGGCTCCAGAAAGTTTTGCTGCACGTGTGATCTCTTCAAGGGTGGCATCCTCTTTTCCATATAGGATGTTTTCCCTAATAGTTGTTGCAAAAAGGGCAGGCTCCTGGTTAACTAATCCAATTTGCTGTCTGAGCCATTTGAGGTCAAGGTCCCTAATATTATTCCCATCCAACAGGATCTCCCCAGAAAGTGGCTCGTAAAATCTTTCAATCAAAGATATCACAGTGCTCTTGCCAGAGCCACTTCCTCCAACAAGAGCTACAATCTTTCCGCCTGGAATGTCAAGGCAGAACTTGTTGAAGATAACTACATCAGGGCGGGAAGGGTAACTGAAAGTTACATCCCTGAATTCAATATGACCCTTCAAGTTGTCTACCTTGTAGCCTGTTTTGGAGCTGGTTTTGTTCACTGTATTCCTCTCTATCATCTCAAATATGGGATAGGCAGCCACCTTTGCCCGGACAAATGCAGAAATGTCAGGTGCTGCCAGTCCTAATGACCTACAGAAAACAGTAAAATTAACCATGCCATTCCTAAATGTTCTATTCAGCTATATCAGTTACAATTATGACAGAAATTAAAAGAAGTGACTTACAGGCCAGAAATGACAACATTAAGCATGGTAGTGAAGGAATCCCCACCATTTGCAATGTTCTTATGAACAACAATGCTGGTGAACCAAACAAGCAATGCCCAGGAAAGGAAAAGCACACAGTGAATAGAGCCTAGTCCTAGACCCTTGGTTAGGCCTGCTCTTTTTCCATACTTGTATGTATTCCTTAAAGCTTCTCTGTATGATCTCACAGCTCTTTCTTCCCCAACAAATGCTTGGACTGTTCTAACATTCCCCATCACCTAAAAGTTCAAAAAAATTACTTTTTACCAACATAAGAAGAATTTTTTTTTTTTTGTCATCTCTTTTGTCTAACACATTACAGGGAATTAACTGACCTCTTCAGCAATTTCACCAGCCTTGACATAGGATTTTCTGACTCTGGCAATAAGGCCGGTGGCAACATAAGCATAAAGGCCCCCGGCGAGGGCAATCAAAGGAACTATAGAGAGTGTCACCAGACTGATTTGCCATACTCTAACAAACCCAATTATAAATCCTGCTAGAAATCTACTAATGTAGTGTATGAAATTTCCCACCTGCATCACTCAATACAGAGAATTCATTTCAAGGTACCCAATTAAGTATAAAATCCAGAAAAATATCTTAAAATAACGAAAAAGGAGAAGACACTCATATTAATTACAAGCTTTGTCTTGTCATGAGAGACAGAAACAACTGCCTATTGAATGCAATTCATTTATGTTCCCACAAGATTAGTTGCAGATGCATAAAAGTATTGTCAGATCATATATATATATATTTCGTATATTTGAAGGGATAATTTACTCTAATTAAAGAACCAAACCAATATCTTAACGAGATATAATAAAACTAACTGAAATTGAAGAAGAAAATCAGAAACAAATTAATCTATTAGCATATATACCTTCTCAGAAAGAGCATCCTGAACAACAATAATGTCACTTGTAATGGCAGCAATGACTTCTCCGGTGGACGCTTCAGTGTCAAACAAAGTTATATCTTGATTTAGCATCGATCTTAAATACGCCATCCTCATTTTTGCTGCCTGCCTTTCCCCAGTATGCATCCAACAAGCCACCTCTGAAATTTAGTTTTATTAAATTACTGAGACAAACTATATTCAGTTCTAATTAGTACGTGGAAAACAAGAAAAGATTTAGGAGTAGGAGAATTTTGTGCATACCTATCCAGGATGAAAATAAAATAGCCACACTCAGGTATACAAAATCCAAAGAATACTGCAAAAAAGGAACAGAATATATAGAAACATGTTAACTAATTGATGCATGCTAAATGTCCTAATTGAAAAGTCTTAGATTCAAACATTATTGCCGTGGACTGACTTGGATTGGAACAGCATGGGCCGTGGAGGGCGATTTCTTGTTGTATATATCTCTCAAATTAATACAGCAAAACGAAGAAAAATGTTGATTATGATGTTTGGATATGTACCTTTGCAACTCTGTGAGAAGCTGCTTGAGGGAAAAGATAAGCCATTCCAACAACGTTTATCAATTTTCCGAAGAAAATGAAGAAGACAGGCACAGAAGCTCCATGTAAAATGGCACCAATGGATCCCAACACCATCAACACATAATCATAAAAATCAGCAAATGAGAACAACTTCAGCAATGGAACTTTCTCTGGCTGACTTTTCCCTTCCTTCTTCTCCTCCTCTTCCTCCTTCATATCTTCATTTTCTTGAGATGACATTTTGGCCTCAAAAATGGCCAAGAGAAACTTGTGGGAATCGCTGTATAGGAGAAGAGAAGGGAGTTCAAGTGAAGAAGAAGAAGAAGAAGAACAACAACAACAAGAAGGTGGGATGTTGGAAATTTAGGGGGGGTGAGGAATAAATGAGCCCTACAGTTTGTCATGTGATAAACTTGCGAATGACAGATGCCATGTAAATATTGTGGTGACTTGAATTAATACTACTACGATAGTAAAATTATAGCGTCCAGAAAGGACTTCAACTCTTAGCTGTTGAGGTTTTGGGGTTTAAAGATTAATGAGTGCAGCTTAAGCTTCCATTTTAATACGTATTCTTTCTCTCTCCAAAATAAATTGAGCATCTAGGGTTAGTTGGATCTGCCTTCTTTTTGCTTCAAATTTGTCATCAGTAACAGAAGATCATTAGGGCCTGTAGGGCGCCATGACCCCTCCAAATTTGAAAAACACAAAAATCATCTATGTCTGTTGCCAAAATCTTCTAATTTACCAGTTAGGTAAGGTCCAAAACCATGAAAAACTCAGTACATAAAATGCTACGTCAACTTAAAAGCTAATGTTACATTGCAATGTGGACGCTAATATATATATATATATATATATATACATATTTTTATGAGTTATATAATTGAAAATTATTTTTTCTCATTCTTTAATTTATATTTTTTGTATATTATACAATTTAAATTTAAGACATAAACTTAAAATTTTTTATTTTTATTAAAAAAATTATTATTGAATTATTTGATCATGTTAGGTAAACATCAATATTAATTATTATTATTATTTTTTAAATATTAATATTAATTATTCTACTTTTTTGAACATTCATGGGGACTTTTAATATTTGTTGTAGATAGACAGGTCCATTGCAGGATGAGCAATTGCACGCCCCACTTTGATGAGATACCGATACGAACGCATTTATTTGCATTTAATTGATAGGATTTTTTTACATTGTGCCTAAAAAATAAATTAAGGGTATTACAAATATATATTTTTGTCATAAATTTATATTAAAAAATTAAAATTTAACCTTATTTTATAATTATTCAATTAAATTTATTTATTTCACAACAATACTAAAATTAATCTCAATTTATATATATATTTATATATTTATAATAAATAAAATACCTTTGAACAGGTTGTTTTAATCCATTGACATTGGATCTTGTATTAAGACTATTTACTTTTTATGAATTACATGTTCGAACCTGACGAAACTTTTTTTCATAAATAATTACAATATGTTAAAAAAAATACCTTTAATGTGTATATATAGAGCACAAATTACAAAAACCTAATTGATAACCTTTCTCCTTTACGCATCATCCACAATTGGGGTTTAATTTGCACCGATTCTTATAACAACTAAACTAATTAAATTAAGCCCGAGTTGAATAGAGAATGGAAGATATTGAATTTAAGGATGAAGACAACTCAATAATATTAATAATCCATTAATTAAGAACGGACGCAAAAAAACAGTTGGGAGAGGAGATCATTGGTTCGTTGGCAATGAGGTCAATAACAATTAAATCCAAGAAAAGAGAGATCGATAAGTTGTGTAATTGCCTATTAAATGCTTGGTGGGCTTCTTTCTCTTAATTATTTCTTCCTTCGGTTGAACTTTGAAGTTTGAAGCAATATTGCATTAGTCTTCGTGGGGTTAACAGACGTTTGGTTAGATGGAGTAGTGGTATGAACGCAGTACCAGCAAAAGAGTTAAGTAAATGTGACACGGAGACGACGAAGAGGAGTAACAATACAAGACAATCAATGGCTTTTGATAGTCAATATATATGACGCCAATTACTGTCATTGGTAGAAAAGAGCCATGGGGATTGAGGAAGGAAAGTAAGAGGTCAGCGGGATCTGCATCTACATCACCCTTGTCAAGAGTGGATGAAGAAAACAGAAAAATGGGTGGTTTGGAATTGGAGGGTATGTATGAAGTATGATATTGCCATTTCTCAGAGTCCCCACTGCTGAGCATTTAAAGATTGCATCAAAAGGAAATTTAATAGGGGTCATTTTCTTTGGCAGCTCATTTATGCTGTCCATACTGCAATAAGGGTTTGAATTGACAATGGACAACACTCCATCTAATTCCAACTTGAGCTTACATCAGATATATTCACAAAGCAGGTTTTGGGAAGGATCAGACCTGGAGTGGCAGCAAAACTAGAGTTGGCAAATCTGTACAAAAGTGACTCATCCTCTCTCTCTCAGCACATGAAGGATTTTGATATCCCAAGCTCTACCTAACAAGGGCTTTATATGAGACAGAACCGAAACAGGCCTCCACAACATGACTCTCCATCGTGCTACTCCATCGGTATTCACCTTCACCAATCCCACCTCCGGAGGCTTCCTTGAAATCATTCTGTCCATATCATTTTGGTGAAGTGGCCTTTGCACTATGCTTGCATTAAATCCAAGCATTCCATAACCATATTAAGAATACCAAAAATATTCAGCATTAACAGGTACAATAAAAAGTGGATTGTGAATCCTTTCATCCCTCCCTTTCCAATAAACTCTGTTCCCATTAGGCCTTTTAAACATATTAGAATCGAGCCGAAAATGAAAATCACCACGAAAGAAGTCTTGTTGGTCAGCAATTAGGACTAGCCTCAACCATATTTGTTCTAGCAAACCAGCAGACATGCAGACATGAATGAATGACCGACTCTAATGGTATCTGGCAGACTATGAAATTATTCATCATCCATCAAGCAGAGACTTAAGAGAGTAGATTGCAGATGTAAAGCTAAACAGCTACACAACTTGGAAAGAAAGCAATACATGAGCTTAAGATCTATATATAGACTCAGAACAAAAGCTACAGATACAATTAAACATGTATCATAATTCATATAAAACTCTTCCCTCTGTCTGTCTAACAGATTGCCAGGCAGAGACAAAACCTGCTTCAAATATGAGCAGATTGACACTTGAGCGATGCAAGAATTTTTTCCGCACAGAAATTCTATGTAAACTTTGATATTTTCTCAGGGTGTAGAGAAGAAACCAGTTTACTCTCTGTCAAGAACCACGCGAGGAGAAACTTGAGAAATGTTTCTATGAGTCGGCTCTGAAGCATTGGCTAGACCCTGCAGCATTCGGAGAATATCAGTCGTGTCATCCAAATAGTACTTGGCCTTGCTCGGTTTCCGGCCTACCGTACAAGCGAACACTTCAGCCACTGGGGAGAGAGAGGGACCTTCCTTCGCACTCATTATCACCTCAAACATGTCCTCATCGGACCGGTCATCCCCAATACAAAGAACGAAATCTGGAAGCATTCCCTTCTGTTGCATTGTTTTGAGGAGACATTCAGCTACCAGACCCTTGTTGACACCCTACAAAAGTGGTAAATGGAGCCTCTTAGAGCATTTAATCATGTAATCATGGATACGTCTAGTAGATAAGTTGATTACCTTAATGGAATGAGCACCAAAAACAAATGTGCCACTAACCTGGGGTTTGACTTCAACAATATGTTGGCCACTCTTAACAGAAACAGGCTCATTAGCAAGTACACTTTCTAGGTGATCCAGAAGCTCCTTAGCCTGGCAAAATCCAAAATCTGGATCTGCGTACTGGTAATTCCAAACAAGAGCACTTTCTTTGGTTTCAATGGCAGAACCATCAGTTGTCTCCGTGTATAATTGCATCACAGGCTCAGCGACCTGTTTCCAATCAAAGTCTGGCACAGAGACACAAGTCTCCCAGTCTTCATTCTGACTTGGCCTGAAAAAAGAATACCATTTGACGAGGATAATAAAATAAAATATACACCATTTTCCAAACTAATGTTGTCTGAGAATCAAACGTTTGATAGACAAACTTACGTATATATAACAATCAAGTGGAAGAGATAGCAAAGGTCTATGCACCAGTTTGAATCTTTTGTTATTTAATAATCTGACTCATCAAAAACTATAGATTAAGAGAAAATAGTCAAAATTCTTTTACATGGACCTCTTTAGGCCACCTGCCACATGAACTATTTTTGTGATAAGAATAGATTAAATCATTCAGAAAAAATATTAAAGCATTTAGGTTAAGAAGAGAGAATTTTATAAAACCCTCCCTGACATGCTCAGAACTCAGAAGCAGGCATGCAACTTTGAGATTGAAGTTAACAAAGTCATGCCATGGAACACAATCACCCAGGGGCTGGAATTTTGTCTGAATATAGAATACTTACACACCTGAATTTGCAGAAAAAGATCTTTCAACTTACAATTTAGCATTGGATGATCCAATTTATGGTGATAAATAAGAAAAGATTCTCAAGTGAAAAGGAGGAGAAGTTGAAGTAATAAACATAAAACTGGTAGTTTAGGAATCTAATATAGATCATTGAGACTAGAAACAGGAAAGACAATTAGAAGCAAGCTTTTTGGAAGTTCATGCTACAGAAATTGATACCCATAAAAGCAGACTAATTAGGAAGCATGTTTCTAACTTAGCTTATGATTGAAAATAGGTGTCCAGAAAGAGCACAATAAACAAACTCATCCTTTCCTCACCTTTTGCCCTGTTTCATTACTGTTGCATAGACCTTTGCTATCCCTTCCATTTATTCTGGTACAGGGTAACTCTTATGCATTTTGCTTGATTACTGTTAGTTGATGTCATCTCTAACCTTATCTATGTAAATATTAAGATCGTTTTCATGATAAGTTACTAAAAAATTCTTTTATGAGCGTTTTAGAAATTACATAATTTAACAACAAAGACTCAAACAGTTTAATAACAATATCCATGAATCTCCTATCATACCTGACAAAGTAACCATGCTCTGCTGCAAGTCCAAGTTTTTCACAGCTAGAGAACCATTCAGTTAGAGTCTTTCTGTCTTTCCCACTAACAAGGAATACAACATTCTTGGGATCCCTGCATAGACTGTTCAGTATCCCAACAGCCTCCGTGTTTGGATTAGTACTGATTGAACCAGAAGACATCATAGTTCCATCATAATCCAAAAGAATTGCTCGGTTCTTGGTCCTCTTATAAGCTGAAACAATATGCTCAACTGAAAGCTTCCTGAAATTTGGATCTAAAGCTATTACCCGGAATCCCAAACCAAAACCAATTCCCCAGCATCTCCTCCTCACATGATCCCGACATGCCCTTTCGAGATCCTGCAAAAAGCTGTGTGCCCAATATGCAACATCATGTGTACTCACATACCTGTAGTGCTTCTCATGCCGCAACTGCTTCTCTGCCTCTGAGAGAATTAAGGCAGAATCCATAGCTTCAGCCACAGAATCAATATTCCATGGGTTTACTCGTATTGCTCCGCTTAGAGATGGTGAACACCCAATAAATTCTGAAACAACTAGCATGCTCTTCTTAGGGTTCAATGGACTCAACCCAAGGGTCTCATCAAGCTTTTCATTTCCTTGCCGGCATATAATATACTCATACGGTATAAGATTCATTCCATCTCTTACTGCTGTAACTAGGCAGCACTCAGCAATGACATAATAGGCAATACGCTCATAAAATTGAAGTGGATTGTCAATCAAAACCACTGGCTTATATCCCGGCCTTCCAAATATATGATTAATCCTCTTCACCGTAGCATGAGTTTCACTTTGGACCTCCTGGACATCTCTTCCTCTTCCTCTTGCAGGGTTTGCAATTTGAACAAGAACGACTTCACCTCTCTTATCAGGATGTTGCATGAGCAACTGTTCCATGGCCAAAAGCTTCAAGCTGATTCCCTTAAAGATGTCCATGTCGTCAACCCCAAGCATAACAGTTTGGCCCCTAAATTGATCCCGCAACTCAGCCACCTTAGCTTCTGTCTCAGATTGATTGAGCACAGACTGGAGCTGTCCTATATGAATCCCAACTGGAAGAATCTTAATACTTACTGTACGACCATAATATTCAAGTCCTATGTAGCCTCGCTTTGATTGATAAGAAAGGCCAAGCATTCTGCTGCAACATGAGAGGAAATGTCTGGCATAATCAAAAGTATGAAACCCAATGAGGTCAGAATTCAGAAGTGCTCGTAAAAGCTCTTCTCTTACAGGAAGTGTTCTATATATCTCAGATGATGGGAATGGACTATGGAGGAAATATCCAAGTTTCACCCTATTAAACCTCTTTCTCAAGAATGTGGGCAAAACCATCAAATGGTAGTCATGAACCCAAACAAAATCATCCTCAGGACTAATCACTTCCATTACTTTGTCTGCAAAAATTTTGTTCACTGAAACATAAGCTTGCCAAAGCGAACGATCAAACCGGCCACCAAGATCTGGTGACAGAGGAAGCATGTAGTGAAACAGTGGCCAGAGATGTTGTTTGCAGAATCCATGGTAAAATTTACTGAAAAGCTCAGGAGGAATGAACGCTGGTACACATTTGAAAGTTTCCAGCAAAGTTTGTGCCACATCATCTTGCTCACTGGGGTCAATTTCTTCTTTAATACAACCCACATAGATTACTTCAACATCTTCACCAAGCCCATCTTTAAGTTGCAAAAGAAGCGAGTCCTCATCCCAATTAAAGCACCACTCTCCATTTGCACTTCGATAGGCTCGAAGGGGAAGCTGGTTTCCAACAATGATCATCCTTTCCTGAGAGATAGATGAAGGAGCTTCAGAACCAACACTATTGCTGGTCTCATCATCTAACTCAGACAACACACCAGGTAAAGTTGCCACCCGAGGAAACCTCTTCTTCTCTCGACCAAAAGTAGGGGAATCCCCTGAAGCAAGATCTAAGAGATTTGAATAGGACCTAGATACCATTGCAACAATGTCCACAGAACTTCCGGCCTATTTAAAATAACAAGAAACTAACTCGATCTCTTTTCTGCCAACTGGCAGAAACAAGCCTGCAAGGCAAAGACCCCCAACGCAAAATTAAAATCAGAAGAAAAAATCAAAATTGGTCTGTAATCAAAACTAGCAATCAGCAAGCTCAAAACTATTCAACAAAACCCCAGTACAACTGGATTGTACTGCAAAATTAACAACTAGTAAAACGTAAAAGAAGTTGCATATATTCCTTAAACACATATTCTAGACAAGCAGTTGAAGATGTGGCAAGAAACTTTAGCTATTCTCTAGATGAACGTACTTTGCAAGAAAATATAAAGTAGATGAAATAAAGAACTTCTTACCAACCGACACTGATCTAAAAGTAGAAGCTTGAAGAGAAAAAAGTCTCAAGAAAATACAGATTTAGAAACACTAAAAAAAAAGACCTTAATCGGACAAACGTAGTGACAGAAGTACCTCTAGATTCCAATCTCCAATCAGTAACAAACCAAGACAATCCAATAACAAGCAGCAAGATGGATCAAAAGAGGAAAACACATCAAAATGCAGAATCAACCGTAACCCATGAACAAAAATCTCAGCTTTATGGAGGATAAATCAACTTAGCAAGCCAAAAAGCATGTCATGAGAAAAAAAGTAAAGAACCCAGTAGTGGGAAGTAAGTAAAAAAGCAGGAGACAAGCAGGGGTATAAACGAAGATCCAAGTAAAGAAAAATCATTATAGCAGTGAAGAGGACGAAGATAAAGAACTTACCTTTCCAGGGTGAATGAAAAACACAAACACCCACCCAACAAAGATTCCTCTCTTTCTTTCTCTTTCTCCTCCGTTCACCCTTCTTTATTTTAGCTTGAACCACAAATTGTCATTTGGAGGATTTTATTTTCCTTTTAACTTACATATATCTGAGACAACAAATTGACTGTCTTTGCAGAAAGCATTTGATTCTTTCTTTTTCTCTCTCAAGTTCTGAGAGTGAGGACCTTTTTTTTTTTTTTTTTTTAACTGAGAGTGAGTGTTGAGTGATGCAAGAAGGAATGCAGTACAGAAAACTCCAAATGGTGTTAACCATGGTTTGTTTAAGTAAACACAAATTAGAGAATGTCCTTCTCACCCAATTGTTACGTTGTCTTTGTAAAATATTTCTCTAGTTAAACTTAAAAGCGTGGGATTTGAGTTTCATTTACAATGTTTAAAAAGAATTAAATCCACATTAACTCCCCAAAATGAATTATAAGAGGTACAATTATTGCCACACTAATCTAAATAATTAATCTCGTATTTTTTAACGTAATTATTTATTATATTTTCATATTATACTTTTTTAATTTTTTAATTTTTAATAAATTAAATAATATAATAAAAAATATGTATTACTCTTAATTTTTAAAATAAATTAAAATTTTAATTTTAAATTATGTTATTTTATTTAATTAAAATTTAAAAAATTAATTATATTAAAATATATAATTTATTTTTAAATTTAAATCTCAACCTTTAATAACATAAATTTTTAATTTTTAAATTAAAATTTTATTTTTCAAATATAAATTGTAATTTTAAATTTTTAAAAAAATTAAAATTAATATACACTAATTTCATATAATAACTATTTAAAATAAAAAATATAATATTAATAATTAAAAATAAAATTTTAATAACACCTAATTATAAATTAAAAAGTATACAATTTAAAGTATTTTGAATTTTATAAATTTAATTATGATATTTGTTTTACATGAAATATAATTATAAAATTCATTTTTAGGTGAGAGGGATAGCCTGAGACCCACTCAGGGCGTCGAAAACACGAACAACGGCCACAAACGCTTGGATTTTTGGTTTTTTTATTAAATTTTAATATTTAGTTATTATATTATATCTTAATTAATTGCCGTAGGTGGGGTGCACGCGGGCTTTAAATGGCGTGGGACTGGATGATTCGTCTTTTAGGACAAAACAATAGTCTACGGATTTTTTTTTTTTGCAGCGGTCGAGTCGGGACCAAGGAAATGCAGAGCAGAGCGAATATCTTGTGTAGTCAGGACCACAATTAGAATTTACTGTAATTGTCGATCAACCGCTATTTGTACTACGTGTAAGGATTGAAATCTTGAGCGCATTTGTCCTTTTGTTCAACAGTTGTTGGCTTTTCACCCATTCAATATGTTCGATAAAAAGAAAGAGGAAAAAGAAAACCACAAAACCATTTAATACCGTGGCAGCACAAAAAGAAAGGAAAAGACAAAAAAAGAAAAAACATTCCAATTACTCAATTGACTTGTTTGGTAATATGAATTTGAAATAGTATATTTGAATTTAAAAAGTTAAAATTTAATATAATTGTTTGTTTTTACCTAAATAAAAAAAATTAAATTTAAGTGAAATACATGCATTTTAGCAAGATAATTCCCATGAGTAAAATTCGTGTATTTCAATTTTACCTTAAAAATCATGAATTTCAATTTTGAAATAAATTTTCTTTGCACCCTCTTTTCTCACCAATGACAATGAGGCTCTCATCGTCCACCCATCATTGACTTTGCCACTATACTCTCACCTTCGCATCATCGGCCACTCAAACCTCTTTGATAGCAAGTTCTTGATCTCGTACATGTACTCAACTTTTCATCATCTCTCTTGATAGCAAGTTCTTGATCTAAACTCTAATCTTTTCATCCATGTTCCTTCTTTCATTATGCCTTGTATTGATTTGGTATTCTGTTGTTCTTGTTATTTTCTCATTCTCCGGTGTGATTTGCTTTCATGGGTAGTTGCTCAATCTTTTGGATTCAAAACCCAGTAGTTTTGTGCTAAAACCCAATATGTTTGGATTCAAATTTTTATTGATTTGCATATGACTACCTCCTAGATCAACTCTCGCAGTTTTGATTCTGTATTTGGGTTAGAATTCGCGATGTCATAATCATGGATTCCTTTCCTTTTTTTTATATCTATTATTAGAGTGACTTCAATGATGATTTTTTTTTTTTTTGTTTCTTTCCTTGTCATTGATTTCGTTTGATGTTCATGAAGATATCCAATGTTAATTTGATCATATTAATTTCTGAATCTCTGAACAAGTTTTGGTTTTGGTGATTTAAAGAATGGGGCTTTGAACTGCTATTATTTTCTATAAATTTACTGCATTTATATATGCTATATCAAGATGATGTGATGTAATGGAGTTTTAATGAAGTGAGTTAAATGCAGTGAGCTTTTCTGGAAATTTTTTGCAATTTTATGTGTATGGCTGGATGAATTGTGTGTTTTGAATAAAGATTTGACAAGTGGGTATTTTCATGTCTGTATTAGGATGAAAGGAGGGCAAATTAGAATAAGATCTAGGGGTAAAGAGTTGTCTTTGTGCTGCTCTGCTCTTGTGATAATGCTACACCTAATTCTTGATATAAGACAGAAACATGAGCTGCTTAGCTTAATTTTTTTACAAGTTATCTTCTTTATTAACTACTGTAGATCACCAAAGAAGGAAGGAGGATTGGGTGCAATCTAACCTTTTCCCTGATAGTTTTGGTTTTTGTCATGGCAACTGTAGAAGTGTTGTATGTGTCCTTGAAACTTCTGTCTTTAGTTAGGATTTTCTCAACATTATTGCTACCATCAACCTTTTGGATTTCCACTGACTTATGTTTACCAAAAAAAAGAGGGATTCAACTTATGGGAAGAGACTAGTGAGAAAAGAGCAAGATGAATAAAGTTAATTCCTCCTTACTTACCTCTTCAATTTGAATATCTTTTGCTGCGGTTTTAAATGTTGCATTGTTCTCCTCAACACCTAGAAATCCATCCTTTAGTTGATCTTCTTGGTCACTAACTTTCATTGTTTTAAATACATGAATGGTATGTTAGTAGAAGTCATTGTTCCTTTTTTTCTTATCTGATTTGTTTGTCTTGAGGTAATTTAAATAATGTTTTGAAAGATTAAAATTGTTAACTTTGACTTTATTAAATTTAAATAATAATTAGAAGAAGATTTAATTTAAGAGAGAAATTTAGTTTTAAATACATAATATTTTAAAATATCAAAACAATGTATTTAAAAATACATGTATTTAAAATTCATTTTTTTT